AAATACAGAGTTAAAGCCAAAGAGATCAGAGCAAGAGCCACCTAGCTTTAACTTACCAGTGGCAGACAGAGTCACTCCTTCTTTGGGTGGCAGAGTGGGACTCAGTTAATGTTTGACCAAGCAGCATGACCATCGTCAGGCTGCTTCTGGCCCCTGAGTAGTAGGGGCCGCGTTATACTACTGCCCTGCCTTCTGGTCTCCCTGCTTAGGGCCCGTTACCTACAGAGCCCAAGGACCGAAACATCCATCAGAAGGAAACAAGGGAGGATGACCATGGGCAGTGCATTCAGCAGCAGAGCGGGTGAGGACTGAGTGAAAAGTGAGGATATGTGGAAATATACCCAGTGTCCTCCAGACAGGATTACATTGGATACGGAGGGAGAGGAAGATACTCAAGACATGAATAATAGTTCTCAGCTTTTTACAAAGCTTTTAAAGGTGTGAACCTTGTGGGGAAATTTCAATGTGAGAGACAGTAGCTATGGAAAATATGAGACTAAAGATGAACTGGGGGGTCTAGACGGGAAAAGAATGTGTAGGGGCCCTCAGCTCTACAATTAACTGTGAATGCCGCTTTTGCTAAAAATGGTCGATCATTAGCCAGAAGACCAGAATCTCCTTCTCCAGAGCCTACTGAAGTTCTTTTTGGGTTTGAGATATGTACAGACACAAACCGGAAGTGAATGCTTTCTAGGACTGAATGTCCTTTTGATAACCTAGTAATGTGGAAAAGTCAGTGGCTCTGGATTTGAAAGCCTGGGATTCAACTTCCGGTTTTGATAGTTAGCAACACTGTGTGAATCCTTCCTTTCTCTGGATTTCAGCTTCATCTGTAACGTGAGGAATCAATGATCAAATGAATCTCGATGGAGTCTGGGGACGAGGCTCCATGGTACAACACTTGTCCAGTGTGCACAAGGCTCTAGGTTCAATCTCCAGCGCTGCAAATGAATGAATGAATGACACTGCAAATGACTGAATGAATGACTTTATATGACACTGGCACCTCTAATTTCTCCATAGATTAGATCTATTGCAGAAAATATGGATAGAACAAGAACTTGTAACTTACCAACTGCAAAGGAAGTCCACACTGAGACAGTTAGAACAAGGAGGGCCATTGAGAAGGTCGCCTTCATGGTGGGGAGATCTGCGGGAGGAAGCACAGTTGTTTGGTGGCAGCAAAGGCAGGCCCGGCTTTGCTCGCCAGCTCGTGGTGGTTTCGGCTGTGGAAGAAGACACTCCTGACGGAAGCACCCTGCAGACAGTGTCAGTGAATGTTATCAGCTCTGTCCTGGAGGAGGGCGCCTTCTCTGCCTCCCCTGGTCCTCCAGTGTAGAGAAGAGCAGCTGTCTCCCGGTTCTCTCAGGGAGAGAGGCCTTCTGCATCCTAATACGTGGCTGCAGTCAGTGTTGCTGCAACAGCAACCGCAGGGACGTGAGTCATAAGCCGTTCTACTCAGTAGCTTTGCTTTAGTCACAGAGGCAGGACGCCCAGTGTCATACAGATGACGTCAGCCTGTGTGTCAGAAAAGCAGACCTCCCTGGTCCCCACCTCACCGATTGCTTGCCAAGAACTTTCCATGTAACCCCTGCCTAAGACCAAACCACAGAAGCCAAAAAGCAAGGTTAGAACATTTAGAGACTTTCTCCTAACTATGGACTTCAATGGACTAGGCCTTTGTTTTAGTTTTGACCAGTGGCACTGTCAACGTGCTGAGTTTTACAGCTTCCATGAACAGTACTTCCATCATGGAGTCAGTTGTGCTAAGGTCTCAGGTCCACTAAGTCTGGGGCCCTGTTAAGTGGTTTAGATAAGAATGGCCCTCAAAGGCTCGTATATTTGAATGCTCAGTCATTGGGGAATGGCATTACTTGAGAAGGACTAAGGTGTGGCCCTGTTGGAGTAGGTGTGGTTTTGTTGGAGGAAGTGTGTCTCTGGGAGTGGGCCCTGAGGATTCAAAAGCCCACCTCAGGCCCACTATCGCTCTCTTCCTGCTGCCTGCAGATCTCAGTGCAGAACTCTCAGCCACTTCTCCAGCACCACGTGTGGTGGGATACTTGTTTACACTGTGTGAAGATGTGTCATTGTGACTGGTTTAATAAAAAGCTGAAGGGCCAACAGCTAGGCAGGAGAGCTTAGGCAGGACTTCTGGGCGGAGAGGGGAACTTAGAGGGTTAGAATCTAGGTGTGAGGGACACGCCAGTGAGCCATGGAGCAAGTCAGTCGTACAGAATGGAAGAGAGGTAAAAGCCACGTGGCAGAATGTCGCTTAATAGAAGCAGGGTAATTTAAGTTACAAGAGCTAGCTGGGAACAAACCTAAGCTAAGCGTCAAACTCCCATAATTAACAATAAGTCTCCACGTCATTACTTGGGTGTGGCAGTCAACAAGAAATTACTACTACAACCATGTCTACCTGTATGCCCCCATGCTCCCTGCCATGATGAAAATGGACTAAACCTCTGAACCCGTAAGCAAGCCTGCAGGGAACCATGGAGTTGGCCTGGCCTAGCTGTCTTGCGAAGCATGCGTCATAGGTTTTTCAGGTTAGAGTCCATGGCTGCTGGAGCACAATGTGCCTCCTGAGAGACTGAAGCGCTCCCTCAGGCAGTGAAGCATTCAGGTCACTTTGTGTTTCTTGGTACGCTCCCTTAGTAGCCAAGGAAGCATGGAAACCTGACAGGACAGTTGGTTTTAAACATTAATCTTGGCTACCCTGTGTGACTTGAAAACTTCACTGAATTCTGGCAACTACAGCTATACTGATCCTGGCAATTGCCATTATATTCTGTTTCTGATAGAGGTATAAAGAGTTGATTGCTCCCCCTCCAGGCTCGCCTGATCTCATTCCTCATGGCCATATCAGGTGACGCTGGCCCAGTAAATAAGCATGGACGCTTATACAAGTCCCAGTTGATGCTTTCTCTTAAGAGTTGTCTTGGTCATGGTGTCCCTTTCCCAGCAATAGAACCAAGACGCTGTTCTTAGGAATATTCTCGAGAGCTGGCATAACTATAGTTCAGTAGCCTAGTACAAAATATGGCTACGGAACCTCTCCTTAGCCTGGTTCTGTCATTCACCCCCTTCTTACGTACCCCAAATCACAGCTAAGCCATTCCTACAGCTTTTTGTTCATTTGTTTGCTTTGAGACAGGGTCTCACTTTGTAGACTGGGCTAACCTTGAACTCACTTTGTAGTTCAGGCTGATAATCCTCCTGCCTCAGTATGAGATTATAGATGTGTATCCAATTTCCATGTCTTCTTTCATCAGCTCTTTCCTTACCTCCCCTCAATTTATCTGATCAAATTCTTCAAGCCCAACTCCGTGTGGGGGAGCACGGGTCTATGTTTTATGTTTTCTGTCCTTGTAGACATGCTTCCTGTAGTGCTTCTGTAAAAGCAACCAAACACCAAGAAGCTTTTTTTTGGTTTTGTATTCTCAACAGCGCCTTTAGAGGACACGGGCAAAGTAGGTGTCTAGGGGAGGAGCCCACTAGTTTCTCTTTTAGTATCATATTGGCTACAAAGAAGGACAGTGATTTCAGGGAAGAGAAATTCTAAAGAATGTGGAAGACTGTTACTAGCGTTCAGACCATTGTCTGATTGTAACCAGTCCTGGAAGCAACTCTTGCGGCATTGAGAGGCACAAGGGTGACAAGCCACCTCCTTCTATCCAAATGGATCGCCACATGTCATTTAATAAATAAACACATCTTGCCAGGAGCCTGTGGCAATGGAGCTCTAACACAGCGTGGAGTTTTCTCCAGAGCAGTGGCTTCTTAGGAACCGCGTGCCTGCCGCCGTCACTGTAGAGCAGGACCACTGTCACCACATCTGCAGGAAGTGCCTCCAGAATGGTGATGAAAACTGGGTCCCCACCTCTCAGTCCCCACAAAAGGGAGAAAGGGGCCCCGAATCACGTCAGCAGTGAGAAAGCCAGCACTGGACAACAGTAATGTCAACACCATGTCATATGGAGTAAGGGTAGCGGATTTCAGCAGACCTCATGAGAGCTAAGTTACATTTTTATGGAGTCCATTTCTGAGGAGAATTCCTAGTGTTCTGAAGCCCGTTTTGTAGCAGGGAAGAGGAGGCTGAAACTGTTTTGAGTCCCCATTTACTGTTAAGTGATCAGGTCACAGCCAGCCCAGAGGGAAAGAAATGTGGAGACAATTGCCATACAGCAAAGGCCCAGCTATCTGGAGCATGAGGACAAGGGCTCAGACACAGCTCCTAAACACGGGAAGAGACTTTCAGACACGTTGCTTATGGCTAATGCGCCACTGTGCCTAAGTATGACTTTTTACACATTATTAAATAAAACTATATATGTCTCACTGTTTAACAAGAAAAGAAGAAGATGAGTCAAAATTAATAAGATACCAGAAATGACTAATAATATTTGTGAAATGAGGGAGAAAGTGCCAAGAGCCTTTCAACAAACTGTTTTAAAGTTACACTTACTTCTGGGGTGTGACCTGTAAGTCAACAGATGGTAAGAAAAGAAAGGGACAGAATCCCAGACGCTCACTGCCATACTCTTTCTGTTTTTGGTTTTTTGAGACAGGGTTTCTCTGTGTAGCTTTTGGTGCCTGTCCTGGAACTCACTTTGTAGACCAGGCTGGACTCGAACTCACAGAGATCCACCTGGCTCTGCCTCCCAAGTGCTGGGATTAAAGGTGTGCACCACCACTCGGCCCACTGCCTTACTCTTAAACTTTGATAATGTATTGCTCTGGTGTTAATAGTTAGTTAATGACCAATGAAATTCCCCGAATGAAACCAGAGAGTTGGTAGCGAAAGCTCACTTGCACTATTGAGGTGGTTATATGCTATTCTTTGTATACAGTACATTTTGCTGTTCTCTTTATCCTACATACTTTCCAGACAAATGATCTAGCTGGGTAATTTCAGCCCAAGACTTCCCCTGAATAAAACGATATAATAAAACACTCTTTCATCCCCCTGAATAAAACAATGGAACACTCTTTCACCCCCCTGAATAAAACAATACAATGGAACACTCTTTCATCCCTGAATAAAACAATACAATGGAACACTCTTTCCTTCTACAAACGTTACCCGTTGGTCAGTCCACGTTCCCTGCTGTGTTCCCGCAGTTGCTCTGAGAAGCTGGCTGACTGGCAGAGACTCCAGGTGATAAGGAAATAACAGGGCTGGCAGGAGGTAGGTGGTGTCACAGAGGACAGTTCCCAGCACTGGAAGACAGTGAGCTTTGAAGTTCAAAAGTATGAATACAAGCCAAGGGTGTAGTGATGCATGCCTTTGGTCTCAGCACTCAAGGAAGAGGCAGGCAGAGCTCTGTGAGTTCAAGGCCAGCCTAGTCTACATAGTGAGTTCCAGGACAGCCAGTACTACATATTATATATTGAGATTTCATCTTTAAAAAAATACAGTTTCCGATTACAAATTCCATGCTTCCTAAAACCATGAGTTCACATTTCAGCTTCCCGGGGGTAGAGTACGTTGTCCACTGCCACTTGGAAATCTACTCCTCTTGCCAAGTTTGCTGTCACTTTAGAAATAGGCCTTACTTAATTTTTATTGTAAGTTTGTTTTTTTTTTTTTTGAGACAGGGTCTCCTGTGGCTGGCTTTGAATGCTAAAGATAACCTTGAGCCTCATGCTTCTACCTTCTAAGTACTAGGATTACAGCTGTACACTACCATGCCACACTGATTGATTGATTGATTGATTTTATTTGTTTGAGTTAATTTTAAGCCAAGCAGTGGTGGCTCACGCCTTTAAACACATCACTTGAGAGGTAGAGGCAGGTGGATCTCTGTGAGTTCAAGGCCAGCTTGGTCTACAGAGCAAGTTCCAGGACAGCCAAGGCTACACAAAAAAAATCCTATATGGAAAAAAAATTATTTTTATGTGTGTATCTGCCACATATTTGTAGATATCTGTGAAGGACAAAAGGCATTGGATCCCTGGAGCTGGAGTTACTGGTGGTTGTGAGCTAGGAATTGGGTGCTGGGAACTGAACTTGTGATCTCTGGAAGAGCAGGAAGCTCCCCAACTGCTGAGCCATCTCTCTGGCCCTGGTTTTAGTTTTCTGAGACAAGGTCTCCCTCTGTAGCTCAAGCCTCACTGTGTAGCTGAAATTCTATTTTCCTGTTCTGCCTCTCAATGACTGGGATTACAGGCGTGAGTTACCATTCAGGATGACTTCAGATAATTAAACCCCATATTAATTACCATCCACACATAGGGAGTTAATTATTATTTTATTATAATTAATGTTATTCAAAGTCAAAACATACTCCTCTTTTGGGGGAGATTTTGAGGATCTGATTCAGCCCAGCCTGGCCTGGAGCTTGTACATTTTCCTTATTGAAGCATTTACTTACAACATTTCTATAATAGCCTAACAGAATCTTTGCGTGTGCACACGTGTGTATGTGTGTAGATACGTGTGTGTGGGTAGGTGCACACAAGGGCAAGTTTATAAATGGATGCCTCAGTTGTTATTCCTCAGACACTATCCATCTTGTTTTGTTTTAAAGATTTTTTTTTTAATTTTATGTGTATGAGTGTTTTGTCTGCATGTACAGGCACCCAGTATCCATGGATGCCAGAAAAGGGTATTGGGTTCCCTGCAGCTGAGCTACAACCTGATGTGAGCTGCCATGTGGGTGCTGGGCACCCAAGTCCTCTGCAAGAGTAGCAAGTGTTCTTAATCACAGAACCCTTCACCCACTCTGAAACCCCCTCCTCCTCATCTTGTGTTTTGAGAAAATGTCTTCACTGGCCTGGAGCTTGCCAAGTAGAACAGGCTGGCTGGCCATCCAGATCCAGGAATCTGCCTTCCTAGTGCTAGGATTGCAAATTCATATATATATATTTAGTTAGTTGGTTAGATCTGGGAGCTGCAGAGACGGCTCAGCTTTTAAGAACACTCCTTGTTCTTGTAGAGGACTTGGATTCAGTTCCCAGCATGGTAGCTCCCAACCCTTCATAACTCCAGCTCCAGGGCATCCTATGCTCTCCTCTGGCCTCCATGAGCACCTGGCACACATGTGGTACACAGACATACATGTGAACAAATGCTCATAAAATAAAAATAGGCTGCTGGTGGTGGTGCACGCCTTTAATCCCAGCACTTGGGAGGCAAAAACAGAAGGATCTCTGTGAGTTTGAGACCTGCCTGATTTACAGAGTGAGTTCCAAGACAGCCAAGACTACACAAAGAAACCCTGTCTTGAAAAACAAAACTAATAATAATGATGATGATGAT